AATGTTTATTCTCTGGTATTCAACAGGACATCAGTTCCAATGAGCTTTTACTTTGCTATGTTGATCTTAAAATTATTATACATGTTTTTTTCTAGCTGCCTCTGAAATGGTGGAATTTCAAATTTTTTCCATTATAGCTATCCCAGGGCACATGTCACTTTGATTCTCAGTGATAGCTACTGTGACGTTTGAATGCAAGGGTATGCAAGCGGTTAAGAACACAAGTGATTGGAACCAGCCACTTCACTTCAAGTTCTAGTCCTGGTATTTACTAGCATGTGACCTTGGCCAAGTTACTTAATTTTTCTGTGCCTCAGTTTTCTTGCCTTTAAATAAAAAATAATAATAGTACCTACCTCATAGGGAAATAATGAAAAATAAGTGGGTTAGTATCTGTCGAGATCTTACAACTCTGCCTGACATATCATGTCTTGTGTAGATTTTTGTATTATTAATTTGAAATTTCTTACATCTCTTTAATATTCAAACTAAATTAAAAAACATAGTTAAGTAAATCTCTATTTGTTTCCTTTCACTGATATATTAAATAACTTTTTACTTTAAAAAATTACTATGACTTCTGGGGTCTTAAAGGCTTGAAGACAAACAAGCAGCCATCTAGCTGAGAAACATCAAAGCCCACATGGAAGAAACACACCAGCCTGTCTGACCACGAGGTATAGAAGGGACCAGTTATCAGACATCAAAGAACTAAAAATTATATCTGTGGGTGCCCACCTTCCTGATATGATCACTGAAGACAAACGTGTGCATAAGCAAATGTGGTGAGGAAAGCTGATGGTGCCCGGCTACCAAAAGATATAGTGTCTGGGTCTGAAAGGCTGGAAGATAAACAAGCAGCCAACTAGCTCAGAAGCAACAAAGCCCACATGGAGGAAGCACACCAGCCTGTGTGACCACGAGCTGTCGAAGGGATCAGGTATCAAACATCAAAGAACCAAAAATCATATCATTGTAAAGGTGGGTGAGTGCAGAATGGAGACTCAAAGCCCATCGTAGGCAATGGGACACCCCCTTACTGAAGGGTTGTGGGGAGGAGATGAACCAATCAGGGTGCAGGGTAGCAATGATGAAACATATAACTTTCCTCTAGTTCTTTACTGCCCCCCCCCCACCATCATGATCCTAATTCTGCCTTACAAATCTGGCTAGACCAGAGGATGTTCATTGGTACAGATAGCAACTGGAAACACAGGGAATCCAGAACAGATGACTCCTTCAGGACCAGTGGTGAGAGGGGCGAGGCCTGGAGGGTGGAGGGAATATGGGGTAGAAAGGGGGAACCAATTACAAGAATCTACGTGTGGCCTCCTCCCTGGGGGATGGACAGCATAGAAGAGGGCAGGGGTGGGGGGAGATGTCGGACAGTGTAACTTATGACAAAACAATAATGATTTGTGAATTATGGAGGGTTCATGAGGGGATGGGGAGTAGGGAGGGAGGGGGAAAATGGGCAGCTGATATCGGGCTCAAGTAGAAGGCAAATGTTTTGAGAATGATGAGGTCAGCAAATGTACATATGTGCTTGACACAATGGATGTATGTATGGATTGTGATAAGAATTGTATGAGCCCCCAATAAAATAATTTAAAAAAATTACTATGACTTTCAATGAACAGGGTGAAAATATTTTACTTTAGAAACAAATAGACAATTAATATGCCAACTTCCTTATTTAATTTATTGGCCTTTCCCACTGATAATATTAATCTATCTTTTGATTAAAAAAAGTTTCACATGACTCATCCTTGAAGTTGGGAAATTCAGCTTTATTTGTGAGTTTACCAGAGGTTCTCGGAATGTTCACACTTAAGACTGTGGGAAAAGGATGCAGCTGAGCAGTAATATATTAACAATATGTGTTGAAAGATAAGGTCCTTGTTGACTGTATACAAAACACACATTTCTAATAGTCCTTAATGGCATTCCTTCCTCTGTGGATTACTTAGGAGATGCTTTCATCTGAATAATCATTCCCAGAGGGGAAAAGTCTTTCAAAATCAATTCACTTTACTGTGTGTGTGTGTGAGATTATTGTGAAATACTGAGTCAGAAAGCACATGCATAGTGTAATTAAATAACATAAAATTTGAAGGTAGCCTTGGTGTCTAATTATAAGAAATTTTGTGTTTTTGTGTTTCAACAGATTGTTTAAAAAATAATCTGATAACAATGGAGATTGAATTCAATGGCTAAAGGAAACTTTATTGTAAGACTAGATTTTCACTCAAAAGCCCACTGAGAACTCTATTTGGATAGTTTTGGAAGAAATAACTCTCTTATTCATCAATGGACTTGTCTAAATTCATAAAGATACAGACCATTTTCCCCTCAGTTCGCTTAGTATTTGTCTCCATTCTCATCTACTTCCTTGTGGATTGGAGACATCCACAAAGTGAATTCCTCTCCCTGCCATCACAGCACTTCCATAGGCTAGAGTAGAGGGACCCCTCTGGGTTTCTTAGGCTGTATATTTGTCCAACCGAAAGGAAAAAACAAACCCAGTGGCATGGAGTCCCATTCCAATTTATAGTGACCCTACAGGACAGGGTAGACCTGCCTCTTCAGGTTTCTAAGATTTCAATCCTTTTTTTTGGTGCCAACAGCCTCATTTTCCTTCCTCAGTGTGATAGGTGGGTTTGAATTGCTGATCTTAGAACTACACCACCAGGGCTCTAAGTGAATTCATACTGGGGGTGAAGTAAGAGCATGCTTAGTGCCTTCTTTAGTGAAGCAGTTTTCAACCCGGATGTGCGGCATGTGGCATATACATATTTTTCAAACAATAATCTCCAATTACCCACATCCTTGTAGTTTCTGAAGGTTTTCCTGGTGATTCTGAATTATCGAATCCCTGAGTTACAGACTTGCATCTTCTATTCAGAATCAACTTTTTAGAGACCCTGAATAAATTCAGTTTCTGAAAGATCCATTAGCATTCTAGAAGAGTCTGTTAATTTCCAGCAGAGCTTAATAGAAGTCTTTTTCTTTTTAATCAAGATTGGTCCAGACCCAAAAGAGTGAGTCTGAACAAATGCAATTTTACTTGTGCATAGTATTGAATTAGTACAAAAGGATGCTTGCTGGCACTGTGCCCTATGGTGGCTGGGATGGGAAGATTTTTTAAAAATGGCTCAAGGTGTAGGGTTCAGCTAACCTTGGAGGTATTTCTGTATGAAAAAGGACACACGCACATACACTCCTTTGAGTCAAGTGACAACCTTTCCTGAGAAATATCACATTTACCTTGTGCATAAGCTACCTGTTGCAAGTAACTCTAAAACATGAAACCCTCGCCGTTACATGTTTCCTTTGCTCACCTTCAGTTTGCATGTCAAAAGAGAGGTTTCTTTTTTTCCTGATTTAATATAGTATTTATTATGATTAGTGTTGAGAAAGCAAAAATACAGATGGAAAACACTACGAAAACACTCAGGACAAGTACCATGAAAAACTGGTCCTGCAGAGGTGATAAAGGGGTGAGTGTAAAGTAAAGTGAGTGTCTGCCGTTGAGGACAAAAGAGTAAAGCCCACAAAACTGCTCCCCCCAGACAGAGTCTACCCCAGGAGCCTGCTGCAGCTGGTGTCAGGGCACTGGTGGTAGTTTGAGAAAGCCCCCCCCCCCCATCAACCATCAGCACGGGCCAACGCATATCAGATGGGCAGCACCTCTCAAGGCCCAGAACTGTGTCAAAGAGGGTATCTTTCAACTCGTATATTAATTCCAGGAATTCCACGAAGGGAGTCATCTTTTAAATGGTGTTGGTGAGATTTTTGCCTGGGCACTATTCTAGTTTGTAAACCAGTAATTGTATATGTGTTTCTATTTTACATATGGGTTTGACTAAAAGGCCTCTCTAGCTTCCTCTTACTGTTCATTACATATATGAAATTAACTAACATGACAGTCCCAAGAATTTATCAGTCCCCCTCCCTGCCCCCCATGAGTGTTACTCTGGGCAGATTCATAGTGTTTTAAGCAAATAAAGTACCTTAATATATTCTTCCTGTTGGAGTTCAGAGTGGAAATGGCCTTTTCCTGATTTGGGAAACTAGAGGATTAAAGATGAAGCAATTCTCTCAGCAACCAGAGAGGTCTCAAGCCTTCCTTTCTGTGTGACTTTGAATGAATGACCTAAGTGAAAATGTTCTGATTTCCCTTCTCAACCCTAATGGTGTTAAAAACAAACAAATCCAATGTTACCGCTTGTTTAAATTAACATTCAGGTAGCTAGCTGGTGACATCTGATATGACTAGTTGTAAGCAATCTATCTTTGAACGTAAGGCATCAATGTCAAGCGCTGCTGGGAAATCACCTCAAGCTGTGAATTGCCCCAACAAGCCGGGATACACATTTAAAAGCGGTTTTATTTGAGAGCATTGATCTCATAAGGGAGTCTCATTGAGAAGACAATTGCATGGGTAAATGACATCTGCGTATCATTTCCGATTTTAAAGCCTACGTCCCAAATCACAGGCGCGTCAAGCAATCATTACCTCCGAGAAAGAAAGGAGAAGGGGTCTTAAAGGGTCTGTTCCTGGGCGCGCGCTGCACCCCTCTGATACCCAGCTGCCGGCGGCCGCCGCGCGCAGCCGCCTCCAAACAAACCCTCAGCTGTTGACAGGCGGGACTTGCTGAGAACACTGGTTAAATATAGCCCGGCGAGCCCGCTGCGCTCCGAGGCCGCGCTCCGGCAGTTTTGTCAAGGGAGCAGGGGAGGAGACACCTAATCTCGGCACCCAACACCTAGCAACAGCTGAAGAAACTTTTAAACAAAAGTTTGGGAGATTCCCAGCGACCTCAACTTGTGCAGAGCCGGAGTCCCGGGAGCCGCGTCCCCCTCGCTCCGCAATTTCCTGCATGACTTCAGCTATTGGCTGGTCCTAGGAACCGGAGTGGGAAAAGCGCTTTCCTCCGTACTCCTCTGGGCTGGATCGCTTTCCAGGACGGACTCGTGTGTCCGGGGCCGTGGGACAAGCCACTGGGTGCTGCAGAGGGGACGCTGCCTCCCTGGAGGACGCACTCCCGGCGGAAGAGCGGCCGTCAGGTAAGAGCAGCATCCGCAGTTACCTGCACTCGCCCGAAATCCCTTTCCACGAGAAGAGATTTCTCTCGACTCCGGGTTGTCGGACCCTGTCATTCTTCTGTTGTGCTAGATGAACCCCCTGGAGGAGTTAGGGTCATCATTGTAAATGAAACTTTTAACGCGTCCGAAACTCCCCTCCAGAATTTTACCAGTTCTTTTTTAAACACAGAGATGATCACTTTGTTTTAATAGTCATTAAAAGATGTCTGCCCAGTGATCACTCCCGGGCAGGTAAAAAAGTAGAGCCAAAGACAGTTGGACAACTTCTGTTACAATTAGAATAGCTAACAAATCGCAGAATGTTTTCCCCAGAAGGAAAGGCGCTTCCATGTGTGCGAACCCCCGGTGCGGTGAGGAGGGAGCGTCCCGCTGGTGTTTGGCCTGCTGTACTTTGACTTGCTGCTGTGTGTCTCCCTGTGCTGTTCTCCGATTACCCGGGTACACCTTGTGCTGCTTCTGACCTCGTTACATGACAGTTGCCTTAAATGCTTCTGACGAGGTACAAAATCAGCCTGGGATCAAATCACTACTTTTACAGTTGTTGAATAGAAGGCCGCAGACAAATGTCATATTGGTATTTTAAATATATACAAGTTGAGTAATTCCTTGCTGACAGATTCTGGTTTTGAACTAACTGAATTTGTGAGGGGGAAAAATAGTAATTTCTTAAATTGTGTGTGTGAGTGTGTGCTTACTATAATTTGAAAGAAACCCTTTTTAATCTGATGCTACATCATCTCCTCTTCTGAGGAGATGAGTTCTCATTGGATTTTATCTGGATTAGAGTGATCCATTTCCTGTTGAATCTGACAAAAATTATTGCTGTGAACTGCATATGTGATTAGACTCAACACCTGATTGTCTGTAATTGGGGTGGATTTGCATATGAAGATTGCCCCTTTAAATGAACATGATATTTGATGAACATGCTAATCTAATCATAATATTAACGAACAAAAACACACAGTTTAAAAGAAATTGTTTAGGTCTAATTTGTCAACTCATATGATTTACCTAAGACCAGATCTGAAAAAATTTTCTGATGATAAATAAGAAGGCATCAAGCCTTTCAGCAAATGTCTACATTTCAAGGAAAACGTATTTATCATGTAGTCAGGAAAATGAAATAACATATAGATTTCAGGATATATTATACTCTGGTTGCTTAGTTTGTTTATAAACTAATGGAAGTCTATAATAGCTTATTATATCTAATAAATATATTCACATGATAGTGCAAAATACATCTGGTAACCTGGTATCAGAGATTGAAACTCTTGGTGCTTTGGTGAAGATGAAAGGGCTTTTAAAGATTTTTTTTTGTTGTTTTAAAAAATTAGAACCAAATAGTTTACATTTTTCTTGTTTTTATTTTAGAAGGGGTCACATTGTTGGCTTACAAATGTACATGTAAAACCAAGATCTACCATTAGTTCTAGGCATATAATTTCTTTTTGAGTCACTGGGAGAGTGTGTATGTAACTGAACGCAGAATTTGGGCTTGAGTGAAAGCCATTTTTCTTCATGAAGTTTTGAGTATCATTATTTATCTTCATGGTTGTAAATTGGCCATTAAGAATCAAGAGCAGCTGAGATTAAATCATATGAACAACCAAGCTCTCTTTGCCCAGCACATATCTGTTCTCCCATTGGAGCCTTGGATGAAACTCCCTTGTTTCTCTTCCCCACAAGGGTTGTTATTTCCACTGCTAGGTCTCCAACCACTTTGGGACCCATTCTCGTTACCCTTGGTCTGCGTTGTCAAAAGGTTGCTTCCCTCAACCTCGCTCATTGCCATTCCAACTTTGCATGTGACGACGACGACGATGAGATGAGTTTTCTTAAAGCAGTCCTATGCGTGTCTCTCCATTCTTCAGTCATCTTCATAGACTTAGTTGATGCCAAACACGTAGGCTATGTATTTTGAAGACATTTCATCATCTGGTACCTACTTAACTTTTCCAATCTTCGCTCCCACTACTCAATAACAAAGACCTTTGGCTTCAGATAATTGTACATTATTGTTTTCCCCCACATATAGTCACAGTGCGCATTGTGATGCGCCACAATCTCATGTCATCCTCCCTGAATGGGATATCTTTCCTCCTCTGCTCCTGTCGAGCCTCTGTAAGATCTAGATCCGTGGCCTCCACGCTTGAGAGAATTTCCCAGACATACATTTAACAAGTGACACCTTCTTAATTTAGTTTTAAGACATGTTGGGCAGGGATTGCCTATTAACATTCAGAACGAATTCATGAACTCCATTAACAGCAAGTCGTTGTTCTAAGCACCACTTGGCTTTGGAGCTTTCCAACCCACGTGCATTGTGGATGTTTTATTAGCATTTGTGACTTTAGATGTCTGGTGATGAGTATGTGAGAAGATATACATAAATATAAGATCAAGCAAAGCACTGGCAATAGTAGCTAATAGCTTTTTCTCTTGGATTTCTCAAAGAGAATCTTTTTAGTTTGGTCATACATAGAAAAATTACTAGTAATTTCAACTACATTCATGGATTTGATTATGGAGGTGGTGCAACAAGAATAAAACACAAAGCAAGGTGTCTGAAGACAAAAAATAAGCCATTGTATAGGTACCTAGACCTCTAAATATTATAACTTCCATACTTTTATCAACTTTGGTATCATATTCTATTAGTGTCTTTGTTGTTACTGATACAAATCATGGCTCATTTTGGGGGGTTCATGGGTTAGAACATTGTGTGTCTGACCATAAACATTAAATATTTAAACATCATGTTATGATCCTTTAAATTTTCCTAAATAGTAAAAAAAGAGACATTTTAATCTTGCCTGACACCTGTACTTTACTTTGTGAGATAAATAATAAATCATGTTGTTGAGTCAATTGGTTCTGTGTTAAATAAAGGAAAGGCTTATCTTTCTGTTGTACTATGGCTACGGAGGTTAAAATGACTCTTCTAAACTGGTGTATTACAAGAAGCACTGTGGGAGTTTCCCAATGAAATTTGTGAAGGATTTGATGTATTCAGAAAGTAGTTGTTTTCCTGTAGTTATACTTTGTATTTGTTCTTTAGAAGTGAAACTTTGCTGTAAAATACACATTCTAAACTAATGCCACTCATAGTTTTTCTTTTTCGGAAGATGGGCATTTCTTCATAAAGCAGCTAGTTTAAGAAATAGGATTTAAAAAAAGAAAGAAAGAAATAGGATTTCACAAAGACTGTTCAATCCATATTTTCATTCATTTGGCTCACTCTTTTTATTTCTGTAAATGTGTACATTATAGAAAAGCAACATGGTAGGGTGTGGGGAGTGAGCTGAGGTTAGGTTGTGAGCAGCACAAAAGCTTACAAGAGAAAGGACTGGTGACATTTTGTCGTATTTTTAAAAAATAAGACCTAAAAGGCAGGAAAAATGTAATACACCCATTATTTTAAATATAGATAGCAATGAAGATATAACAATAGGGTGCATTCCTTGGAACAGGGGGGATGAGAGGCTTGTAGCATAAACAAACCAGATTATCTGGATTCAGATTTGGGCTCCATGTGATTTTGACAAATTGCTCTCTGTGCCTGCATTTCCTCATGTGTTAAATAAGGACAATGCTATCTTTCCCACTGGGAGGTTTTTATCTTTTTATGTCTGTTGTGTGTTAACAATAAACACCACAAAATAAACAACAGTTCAACAATTTATAAATGTACAATTCAGCGCTATTGGTTACACTTTTTAAATTGGGGAAACATTCTTGGCATCTTTTTCCAAATTATTCCACCACCAGGAACATACATTCAACGCACCCTAAGCAAAAACTCGTTCTTGTCCCCTTCCACCAGAGTTGTGTAGATGAGTGAGTACTATGAGAGTTGCCTGGTAAGTTCTTCAATAGATTGAAGCAATTACTGCATTATTACTACACCTTTAAATGTCATTATTTGTTTATTGTTATCTTTGGTGAGCATGAAATTCTTAGATACTGACTGTGAACTCAACTTTGTATATCAGAGGAAAAGCAAAAAAAAAAACATTGTTTAAATTTGGAACCCTGTTTGGGACATACTTTTCTGCTGGGTAAACTGCACAGACAGAGTTTGAACGGCAGCCAGTAAGAGTGTGGAATTTATGTTTCAACCCCCCTTTATCACTCAGCAGTCTGCTGTCTTCTAGAGCCATTACTAACAGGTTCAGAAGTCACCACAGCATAGCTTGCGCTACGGTTTCTATATTTGCTCTTGGAGATAAAGCATGTTTGTGTACAGCTGTGGGTGTCTCTTGTGCAGATGACTGGATAATGTAAAGCAAGAGAGATCTCTGCTTCCAGGGAGGGATGCGTTATTAGATTTATCATTCTTTATTTCCTTCCTCAGCGGCTTTGTTTTGTTTTTCACTAACCTAGTAACAGATAAAAATGAAAAGACCAAAATAGGTCATCTCACGCTAGCTTCGACCTTAATAAATGGAAATGAATTCTTACTCTTTATGACCTTAATCCTATTCATTTTGTTTGGAAACATAACAAGCCAATTACATCCCAAGGAAAATAGAAATAGGAGTGAAGTATCATAAGGACATCATATGCACATTCTGGGATGGTTGATATTCTGTATTAATTTAAATATATATACATGTATACACAAATGAAGGTAGGCAAAATGTATGGCTATAAAAATCATAGAAACCTTTATTGGACAAAAATGTCAAAGCATGCAGCTATTGTTTCTTAACGCATCTGGGCCTATACACCATCTGACGGCTGTTTCCACCTTTCTAACCTCCCACAATTCCATGCTGTTTAATTGACACCACAACAAAACAGCAGTTTTGGCATCCTCAGAGGACTCAAATCATGTTCCTTCTAAATCTTGCGTTTAGGGGATGAAAAGGAGGTTGAAAGGCAAGATCAGGCTTGTAGGATGGATGGGTCCAGTTTTCCAATGAGATTCTCGTAGCCCTCGCTTTCCTTGTAGA